ATAAATCCTGTTTCTAGAGAAGGAAACATCCCAGATTTGATAAGGCCATTACAATATATCAGATCATCAATAGTTGTAATGAAATATATGGTTTCATTGTGCTAGGTATAATACTATACTATCATTGTAATATAGTACGGAAACATTCATTTGTTAAAATCACCACATAACTGGGTGCATTATAATAGTTTCATGGTGTGTAATATGGTACTGAAAGATCCATTTGTTCATATCCCCAAACATCAGGGTACAAGGTGGTTAATTTAAACTTTTGATTTATTAGTTGGTTTATATCTTTGAGGAAATCCAGAGTTAAAAAACAATGTGAAATTTACTAATAGCTGTAAATTCTTTATTGCCTTCTTTTTCCACACAAAGATGACATTCTTGAAATATGAACCTTTTCACTGTGTAAGCATGGAGGAATATATTAAGGTACCTAAAAGCTACTGTTGAACCCAATTCATACAATGTTAGCCTGCAGAGAATTGTCTCATTCCTACCTGTGAGTCTACAGTGTCAGTGTCTAGCATATGAGGTCTAATTGCCTTCATCATCACATAGTGCGGAAATGGTTCAATGTTGAAGAAGGATATTCTCAATATATTTAAATCTAGCCTACCTCTCAACAGAAAAGAAAATAATTCATCTTCGTGTTCAACACCATATGTTGGAGCTTTTCCGTACAAAATATTTCCATCATCGTCATTTAATGCAGCAATGGTTCAATGTTGGAGAATGGAAATCTCAACAAATTTTTGTCTGAAGAACCATTCAAAGGTGCCAAGTCGAAAAAGTTATGTTTGAGTCATAACTGTGGGATTAGATATTAAGAAATATCTACCATGTATCTACAGATAAATCCTGTTTTCAGAGATGGAAACATCCCAGATTTGAAAATTTTGTTGAGATGCTTGCACAACTCTCTACATGATAACATCATTACAATGTATCAGATCATCAATAGAAGTAATGAAACATCTAATAGGGTTTCAGTGTGCTAGGTACACATAATACTATATTATAATAGTAATATGGTACTAAGAGATTCATGTGTTCATGTCACCACATATTAGAGTGCATTATTATATTTTGATGGTATATAAGATGGTACTGAGAGTTTAATATGTCCATAACCCCAAACATCAGGGTGAATTTCTTAATTAACATTGTGTGTGATATGATAGTGAAAGATTCATGTTTTCATATTACCACATATAGGAGTGTATTATTATATTTTCATGGTGTGTATTATAGTATACTGAAAGATTCCTGTGTTTGTCACCTCATATCAGGGTGCAGTGTTATTATTTTATACCGTGTAAGATGGTAGTGAAATATCAATCTGTTCATGTCACTATATTTCAGGGAGCATTGCAATATTTTCATGGTGTGTAATATGGTACTAAAAATTGATGTTTGCATGTCACCTCAATCAGGTTTTTAATGGTTTGTAATATTGTACTTAAAGTTCCAAAGGTTCTTATCCCCAAACATCAGGTAAAAAAGTGGCTAGATAAACCTTTGTGGAGTAATTTATAGGGTTTCGGTGTGTAGTTACAATATTATATTATCATAGTAATATATTACTGAGAGATTCATGTGTTAATATCACCATATATCTATTGTTATATTTATATGATGTATACTATGGAACCTTAAGATTAATGTTTTCAAGTCACCATATATCAGGTACATCATTATATTTCATGTTGTGTAAGATATTATTGAAATATATTCAATATATCATATCCCCAAACATCAGGGCATAAAGTGGCTTGATTAAACATTGTGTAGTAATTATTGTAAAGATGATTTATACAAATTTGTATCTTGAAAAGAGATAAGAAACAATGAAAACATTCCCTGACATCTGTTAATTCATAATTGCCATCCTTTTCCACACAAGTAGACAATCTTTCAAGTATGAACTCTCACACTGTGTAGGCATGGAGGACTATATTAAGGTACATATAAGCTACTGTTGAACACAATCTGTGCAGTATTTGCTTTCAGAGAATTGTCCCATTCCTACCTGTGAGTCTACAGTGTCAGTGTCTAGCAGATGAGGTCTAATTGCCTTCATCATCACTTAGTGTGGCAATGGGTCAATGATGCAGAATTGTAATCACAACATATTTAAGCCAATCCGTACATATCCCCTAAAAAGGCAAGAATTCATCTTAGCATTCAACACAGTATGTCGAAGTCTTTCTGGATGCTGAATATTTCCATCATTGTCACTTAGTACAGAATCGGTTCAATGTTGCATAATGACAATCTCAACAAATTTAAGCCTAGTCGTACATTTCACCCAAAAAAGGAAAGAATTCATAAATGCATTCAACACAACTGTTATAATTCCTTCAATTATAGCAATATTTCCATCATCGTCACTTAGTACAGCATCAGTTCAATGTTGCATAATGATAATCTCAACAAATTTAGGCCTAGCCGTACATTTCACCCAAAAAAAGAAAGAATTCCTAAATGCATTCAACACAACTGTTATAATTCCTTCAATTATACTAATATTTCCATCATCGTCACTTAATACAGAATCGGTTCAATGTTGCATAATGATATTCTCAACAAATTTAGGCCTAGCCGTACATTTCACCCGATAAAGGAAAGAATTCATAATTGCATTCAACACAACTGTTATAATACCTTTAATTATACTAATATTTCCATCATCGTCACTCAGGGCAGCAATGATTTAATATTTTAGAGGGAAATCTCTGCAAATTCAGGGTTTTACTTCTATGGCAAATATATAAAGATGTTAATATGGAACCTCACAAAGCTCCAAAGTCAAAATATAGAGATGGGTTTAGTTATCAATAATTGTGTTTCCATGTATCTACAAATAATTCCTGATGGTAGAGATAGATTTAAAACAAGACTTTATCATTTCTAAAGGATATATTTTGTTAAATTTCAGTGTGCTTGGTATAGTATTATCATAGTAATATAGTACTGAAAGAATCGCGGGTGAATATCACCCAATATCAGAGTGCATTATTAAATTTTCATGGTGTGTAATATAGTACTGAAAGATTCATGTGTTCAGATAAAAATATCAGGGTATAAATTGGCTAGATTAAACCTTTTTGCATTAATTTTTGTAAAGCTTATACCAAAGTTGTTAATATCTTTTAAAACATTCTGAGTGATGAAACTATGTAAATATTCTCAATAACTGTGAATTCTTTAGTGTCATCTTTTTCCACACAAAGATGACAATCTTTCAGTATGAACCTTCCCTCTGAGGTCACACAGATTTATATTAAGGTTCCTAAGAGCTACTGTTGAGAAATTCTGTACAGTCTTTGCTTGCAGAGAATTGTCCCATTCCTACCTGTGGTTCTACAGTGTCAGTGTCTAACAGATGAGGTCTAATTGCCTTCATCATAACTTAGTGTGGCAATGGTTCAATGTTTCAGAATGATAATCTCAATATTATTAGGTCTAGCCGTACATATCCCTAAAAAGGGAAAGAATTCATCTTTCTGTTCAACACATTATGTCAGTCTTTCCGGATAAAAAATATTTCCACATCTTCATTTAGTTCGGCAATGGTTGAATTTTGTTGAATGATAATCTCATGAAAATCCCCAATTTGAGAAAAGAGAAAATTCATCTTCGCGTTCAACACAAAATGTGGGAGTGTCTCAGGATGACTGACGAATATTTCCATCGATGTATCTACAGATAAATCCTGTTTTTAGAGAGGGAAACATCCCAGATTTGATAATGTAATTTAGCTGCTTGCACAACTTTCTACATGATAACATCATTACAAGGTATCAGGTCATCAATAGAAGTAATGAAACATCAAATAGGGTTTCAGTGTGCTAGGTACAATACTATATTATATATCATAGTAATATAGTACTGAGAGATTCATTTGTTCTTGTCACCTCTTATTAGGTTGGTTTATTATATTTTCATGGTGTGTAATATGGTACTGAAAGAGCCACATGTTCATATCCCCAAACATCAGGGTGAATTGCTAAATTCTCATGGTTTGTACTATAGTACTGAAAGATTCATGTGTTCATGACACATAATATAAAGGGTGATATTTATATTTTCATGATGGCTATGATTCTGATATAAATTACTGTGTTTTTGTCACCGTATAAAAGGGTATATGTTATATTATCCTGCTGTGTAAGTTGTTATTAAAGATCAATGTGTTTATGTAACCATTTATAAAGGTAAATGTTTTATTTTCATAGTCTGAAAGATGTTATAGTGAAAATTCAAAGGTTCATTTCCCCAAACATCAGGGTATAAAGTGGCTAGATTAAACCTTGTTCAGTAATTTTTGTAAAGCTCATATTAAAGTTGTTTATATCTTAAAAGATATTCAGAGTGATGAAACTGCAAATATTCTCAAAAACTGCGAATTCTTTATTGTCATCTTTTTCCACATAAAGATGACAACCTTTCAAATATGAACTTTCTTACTGTATGCATGGAGTGTATATTGATGTTCCTAAAAGCTACTGTTAAGACAATCCGTACAGTCTTTGCCTGCAGAGAATTGTCCCATTCCTACCTGGGAGTATACAGTGTCAGTGTCTAGCAGATCAGGTCTAATTGACTTCATCATCACTTAGTGTGGCAATGGTTCAATGTTGTAGAATGGTGATCTCAACATATTTAGATGTAGCCTCCATATCACTGAAAACAGAAAGAATTCATTTTCGTATCCAACACAATGTCAGAGTCTTTCCGGATGCTGAATATTTCTACCATCGTCACTTAGGTCAGCAATGTTGCAGAATTGTAATCTCAACAAATTCTGATTGTATTACTTCTATGAAAAAAGTTAGAAATACTAAATATTTCTCTTTAAAATAAATATTGATTTTTCGTGGAAAAGAAACTTATGCGGTATAATTTTAAGTATTGTTTATAATCACACGCCGCAGTCCTTTATAATGTATTATAAGTTACTTTAAGTATTATTTACGAACGGAGAAATAACGTCCAGGGTAGCCTAGTGGACATGGCACCTGCCCGGTAAGAAGAAGGTTGTGGGTTCGATTCCCGCCCCTGGACACTTTTATTTTTCCCGTTCGCCATTACTCTTCATATTTTCACCCTCTCATACTTCATTCAAAAAAGTTAGAAATAGTAAATATTTCTCTTTAAAATAAATATTGATTTTTCGTGGAAAAGAAACATATGCGGTATAATTTTAAGTATTGTTTATAATCACACGCCGCAGTCCTTTATAATGTATTATAAGTTACTTTAAGTATTATTTACGAACGGAGAAATAACGTCCAGGGTAGCCTAGTGGACATGGCACCTGCCCGGTAAGCAGAAGGTTGTGGGTTCGATTCCCGCCCCTGGACACTTTTATTTTTCCCGTTTGCCATTACTCTTCATATTTTCACCCTCTCATACTTCATTAAAAAAAGTTAGAAATAGTAAATATTTCTCTTTAAAATAAATATTGATATTTCGTGGAAAAGAAACATATGCGGTATAATTTTAAGTATTGTTTATAATCACACGCCGCAGTCCTTTATAATGTATTATAAGTTACTTTAAGTATTATTTACGAACGGAGAAATAACGTCCAGGGTAGCCTAGTGGACATGGCACCTGCCCGGTAAGCAGAAGGTTGTGGGTTCGATTCCCGCCCCTGGACACTTTTATTTTTCCCGTTCGCCATTACTCTTCATATTTTCACCCTCTCATACTTCATTCAAAAAAGTTAGAAATAGTAAATATTTCTCTTTAAAATAAATATTGATATTTCGTGGAAAAGAAACATATGCGGTATAATTTTAAGTATTGTTTATAATTACTTCTATGGCAAATATAAAGATGATAATATATGGAACCTCACAAATTTAGAGATAGGTTTAGATATCAATAATGATTTTTCCATGTATCTACAAATAATTCCTGAGATATCAAACAAGACTTTATCATTTTCAGGACTTTATCAGGTCTAGCCGGACATCCTGCCCAAAAAAGGAAAGAATTCATCTTCGCGTTCAACACAATATGTTGGAGAAATGTTCCTGAAATGAATTTTTCTATCATCGTCACTTAGTTCGGCAATGGTTCAATGTTGTAGAATTGAAATCTAAATATAATCTGGTTTGACCATCTATTCAAATAATAAAAGCCAAGAAAATTATGTTTGAGTCATAAATATGTGTTTAGATATCGAGAAATATTAACCATGTATCTACAGATAAATCCTGTTTCTAAAGAGGGAAACATCCCAGATTTGATAATGCCATTACAATATATCAGATCATCAATAGTTGTAATGAAATATATGGTTTCATTGTGCTAGGTATAATACTATACTATCATTGTAATATAGTACTGAAATACTGAAATATTCATTTGTTGATATCACCACTTATCAGAGTGTTTTTTAATATTTTCATGGTGTGTAATATGGTATTGAAAGATCCATGTGTTCATATCCCCAAACATCAGGGAACAAAGGGGCTAGATAACAAAATTTCAAGTTGAACTTCCCGCTGTAGGCATGGAGGACTATATTAAGGTACCTAAGAGCTACTGATGATACAATCTGTACAGTGTTAGCCTGCAGAGTATTGTCCCATTTCTACCTGTGAGTCTACAATGTCAGTGTCTAGCAGATGAGGTCTAATTGCCTTCATCATAACTTAGTGTGGCAATGGTTCAATGTTACAGAATGATAATCTCAATATATTTAGGTTTAGCCGTACATATACCCTAAAAAGGGAAAGAATTCATCTTTCTGTTCAACAGATTATGTCAGTGTTTCGAGATATAAATATTTCCAACATCGTCATTTAGTTCGACAATGGTTGAATTTTGTTGAATGAAAATCTCGTGAGAAACTCCAATATGAGAAAAGAGAAAATTCATCTTCGCATTCAACACAAAATGTGGGAGTGTCTCAGGATGACGAATATTTTCATCAATGTCACTTAAGTGCAGCAATGGTTTAATCTCAACATATTGTGGTCGACTAACCATTCAAAAGAGAAAGGTCAAGAAAGTTAGTTTGAGTAATAACTATGAGTTTATAGATATCTCAAGAAATACCTATCATGTATCTACAGATAAATCCTGTTTTTTAGAAAGGGAAACATCCCAGATTTGATAATTTTGTTGAGCTGCTTGCACAACTCTCTACATGATAACATCATTACAATGTATCAGATCATCAATAGAAGTAATGAAACATCTAATAGGGTTTCAGTGTGCTAGGTACACATAATACTATATAATTAATAGTAATATGGTACTAAGAGATTCATGTGTTCATGTCAACACATATTAGAGTGCATTGTTATATTTTGATGGTATGTAAGATGGTACTGAGAGTTTAATATGTCCATAACCCCAAACATCAGGGTAAATTTCTAAATTATCACGGTGTGTAATATCATAGTGGAAGATTCATGTTTTCATATAGCCACATATAGGAGTGTATTATTATATTTACATGGTATGTATTATAGTATACTGAAAGATTCATGTGTTTGTCACCTCATATCAGGGTGCAATGTTATTATTTTATACTGTGTAAGATGGTAGTGAAATATCAATGTGTTCATGTCACTATATTTCAGGGAGCATTGCAATATTTTCATGGTGTGTAATATGGTACTAAGAATTGATGTTTGCATGTCACCTCAATCAGGTTTTTAATGGTTTGTAATATTGTACTTAAAGTTCCAAAGGTTCTTATCCCCAAACATCAGGTAACAAAGTGGCTAGATAAACCTTTGTGGAGTAATTTATAGGGTTTCGGTGTGTAGTTACAATATTATATTATCATAGTAATATATTACTGAGAGATTCATGTGTTAATATCACCATATATCCATTGTTATATTTATTATGGTGTATACTATGGAACCTAAAGATTAATGTTTTCAAGTCACCATATATCAGGTACACCATTATATTTCATGTTGTGTAAGATATTATTGAAATATTCAATATATCATGTCCCCAAACATCAGGGCATAAAGTGGTTTGATGAAACATTGTGTAGTAATCATTGTAAAGATGATTTACAAGTTTGTATCTTGAAAAGAGATAAGAATCAAAGAAAACATTCCACTGACATCTGTAAATTCATAATTGCCATCTTTTACCACACAAAGATGACAATCTTTCAAGTATGAACCTTTCCACTGAATAGGCATGGAGCCCATATTAAGCCACTTAAAACTACTGTTGAGATAATCTGTACAGTCCTTGCCTGCAGAGTCTTTTTGCTACCATATAAAAGGGTAAATATGATATTATCCTTCTGTGTAAGTTGTAATTAAAGATCAATGTGTTTATGTCACCATATATAAAGGTCATTATTTTATATTTTATGGTAGGTATTAGGTACCGAGAGATTAAGTGTTCATTTCACTGCATATAAAGGTAAATTCTATATTTTCATAGTGTTTAAGATGTCACTGAAAGATCCAAAGGTTCATTTCCTCATACATCAGGGTACAAAGTGGCTAGATTAAACCTTAGGGCAGTAATTTTTATAAATATGATTTATAAGTTGGTTTATATCTTCAAAAAAAGATTCTGAGTGATGAAACTATGTAAATATTCTCAATAACTGTGAATTCTTTATTGTCATCTTTTTCCATATAAATATAATTGGCGAAAGGAAAGATTTTCATCTTCGTGTTGAACACCAAATATCGGAGTCTATCCGGATGACAAATATTTCCATCATCGTCACTTAGTTTGGCAATTTTTCAATATTGTAGGATGGAAATCTCAACATATTTTGCTCTGTTCAACCATTCAATGGTGCCAAATCAATAAAATTACATCAGAGTCATATATTATTTAGATATCAGAAGAAATATCTACCATGTATCTACAGATAAATCCTGTTTTTAGAAAGAGAAACATCTCAGATTTGATAATGTAATTTAGCTGCTTGCACAACTCTCTACATGATAACATCATTACCATGTATCAGACCATCAATAGAAGTAATGAAACATCTAATAGGGTTTCAGTGTGCTAGGTACAATACTATATTATATATCATAGTAATATAGTACTGAGAGATTCATTTATTCTTGTTACCACATATCAGGGTGCTTTATTATATTTTCATGGTGTGTAATATGGTACTGAAAGAGCCACATGTTCATATCCCCAAACATCAGGGTGAATTGATGAATTCTCATGGTTTGTACTATAGTACTGAAAGATTCATGTTGTCATGACACATAATAAAAATATAAAAGGGTAAATGTTATATTATAGTGTTGTGTAAGTTGTTATGGAAAGATCAATGTGTTCATGTCACCGCATATAAAGTTAAATTTTATATTTTTATATTATTTAAGAAGTTATTCTGAAAGATCAAAAGGTTCATTTCCCCAAACATCAGGGTACAAAGTGGCTAGATTAAACCTTCTGGTAGTAATTTTTGTAAATATGATTTAAAGGTTGGTTTATATCTTCAAAAATATTCTGAGTTATGAACTATGTAAATATTGTCAATAACTGTGAATTCTTTATTGTCATCTTTTTCCATATAAATATCATTTGAAAAAAAATATTTTCGTCTTAGTGTTCAACAACAAATGTCGGAGTCTATCCGGATGACAAATTTTTCCATCATCGTTATTTAAGTGCAGCAATGGTTTAATTCCAACATTTTGTGGACTGACCAGCCAATCAAAGGAGAAAAGTCAAGAAAGTTATGTTTGAGTAATAACTATGAGTTTTTATAGATATCTCAATAAATACCTATCATGTATCTACAGATAAATCCTGTTTTTAGAGATGGAAACATCCCAGATTTGATAATGTTATAGAGCTGTTTGCACAACTCTCTACATGATAACATCATTACCATGTATCAGACCATCAATAGAAGTAATGAAACATCTAATAGGGTTTCAGTGTGCTAGGTACAATACTATATTATATACCATAGTAATATATAGTACTGAGAAATTCATTTATTCTTGTCACCACATATCAGGGTGATTTATTATATTTTCATGGTGTGTAATATGGTTCTGAAAGAGCCACATGTTCATATCCCCAAACAT